GAACCCGGGTAGCCATGGTGCAGTGTATAATCTCGGCATGCCAACACAACGAGTGGGCCTGGGTTACGGGACAGAAGTGAAGTTCAAATAGGGCTAGGCCTTTGTCATACCACATTTTGCCATTATGATCGACTACATTACTTATAATCAAATAAAGTAGCTTTCGGAATTATCAGTAAATCTTGATGCGACCCAGGCTAGGCCGAAACTGCAATCCAGTCCGATCCACTTGTGGGAATATTCTACTATCTATTCTTCATCAGCCTATGTGAACTAGGGTGGGTATAAATCATATTTAAGGCGTCCAAATATTCTCGAAGCCTACTTTACATGAATATCGCCCATATACACACTCAATAAGCTTCGATACTACTAGTAAATTAAAAATAAGTAGTGCCTTCTGTAGAAATGGAATACACCAGGTTGCTTTATCGAAATACCATTATAAAATGTGATTTGTCACAATGCTCATGTTGCAGCTGCGAATCCGCTTTATGGTTCCTGACTTTGGCTGAAGACCGTTTTGGAAGGCAAGACCAAATGAAATTTAAATCGTTATGGGAAAATGTTCACCTCATGGTTCATATTCAAATATTAAGTTGTTTCAGGTAAATACAAAAAAGGACCTATTTGTGTCGACAAAATTCAACTCGACGTCCTAAAGCAATACCCTACTCCATCAGCCACGTTAAGTTAACATGTATCAAAAACAAATATGCTGATTTAAAGATAACTTGGAGCCATTGTGTAAAATTATGCCTATTCTAGATCCAGAATGATTTTTTTGTCTTGCTCAGGCTGATCACTTCGTACTCCCATTTTCGCAGTTCCTTGAGGCAGGCCTGCCAGGATTATTTGAGGCAGGAGCTCAGCGTCATGGAAGCAAATCACCTGGTAACTCTAGCATATTGAATCATATGCTATATCATGATGTATTTTTAATTACTTCAGTATTATTATTTATTATAATTATCATTTATTCATTATTTTTAATCACTATATGATCGAATCAAGGATTATGTGGTTGCGCGCGAACTATTTGGTCAACTCTGGCGGTCATACTTGCCACATTCACATGACATTCAAAGTTTCGGTGATTCTCTAAAGCGCGTTGTAAGGCTACCGAAACCGAAACCGAAACCGAAACCCGCAAAATCACTCGGGCTACTTTTGTTATTCGACTGTGGCGAGACCATTTGAAAAGTGGAATGAGGCAACATGACGCAGCCGCTGGCCGCGCAAATACCGGTCTTATTCTTGCTTCGACATGTATTCTGGAAAACTGCCCCATTTTTATTCGCTTTAGCTGATTCCCTCCTACCAAGCCAGCTCGGCCGGGCAGGGAATCGTTTTTCTGGCTTTGTCAGCGAAGCCAAATTAACGACTGCCAGTCAAAGCCGGTGTCACTCGCACTGCGTCTTTGTTTAACGAGACTGCATTTCCGACTGTCGGAACAGACTTTTGAATATTTCACCCATTCCTCAAGGCAGACTACTTCGGGAATCGTAACAATTTTTACATCCATTTTACAACTATGCGAAAGTTTATTTGCATCGGTCTATTCTGCTAAGACATAAGTGCCTTTTTTATGTTACCATCATTTTTATTGATATTTATTTTGTAAAGCGACAGTTTGCAAGCCTTAATCTAACTTCCATTGCCAACCTAAATAGGAGTTGTTGAAGCGAGACTTCAACAGAGTGCGTCTGTGAGAGCAATCTGTTAAAAGACAATACGAACCTTGCTTCTTCTTCAACTTGTCCCACTGGAATGGCTGGCTGCTACCAATATGGGCTGAAAACTATACTCTTGAGGCACATGGTGCAATGGAACTAACTGACAGACTTTCGAATCTGCCTAAGATATAGCTGGTATTCTCGATAATTCACGTTTTGGCATACATTTTAAAGTCGTATATAATATTACAATTTTCAAATGTACGACACTTATTTTCAAATAGGTTAGTTAACTTCATAGCAGAAAACACTTAATACTACTACTTATTTACTAAACGCCAGTGTCGAAATATAAACATTATAAAACTGTATAATAATGCATAATTACATATATGTGAGAAAATTTAGTGTTGAAAAATTAACATTTTTGGAGTTTTTATATTATATAGATTTTATATATATATATATATATATATATATACTTAATTATTACCTTGTTATATGCACAAATATATTAAAAATAATATTATTATATAAACGATGTATTTAGTAAAGAATTGATAGGATTATTTTTAAGCATAGCTAAGGCGATTTAAGACTATTAAGAATATTTGTGAAGTGTACAATAAGAGCTTGATCTTCGGAAGTGAATTCAAGATTGCTTTGAGACAGGAAAAGAAAGACCCTTAAATTCAGTTTACCGGTGGAGCCATCACCTCATCTATCGGGAGATGCATTATGGAAGTTTTCTAAAGTCGACATATTGCTGTTATTATTCACTACTCATTGTATAGTCATGAGTAGACATCAGAGAAAAAAATAATGCATTTATGTATTTATTTGGCCCTTTCAATCAGCAATTTGCCAAAAATGTGGAGCTAGATTTATTGAAATTTCTTGCAGTAGCTTTTTTATTTTCTCCTTTTATCTCAGCTCAACATAGCACTTCCACTAAATTTGGCTTGTTCATCCGAAGAAATATGCTGGAATAGCTCCTCATCAGCCATGGCATTTCTGTGTCTCAAGCACATGCAGTCTTCAAATCGTTCAACCGACATATCCGTGAGTTTGCAAAGCCAACCAGAAGCCGCATTGCAGATGCCCATCATCCAAATGATCCCAGAGTATGGATCCTTCACTGGTAAGTTTTGATATTCATCAAAATTGCTAATAGTAATGAATTTAATGAGCCTATTAATGAATCGCTTGATGAGGAGCATGAATACAAAATAAACTTTTTATTTTTTAAAGATCAAGCTTAAATAATCTGCAAAAGAGTTATACCAAAATTATAAATTTTAATGCTCAAAATATTTATGATTTTTATAGTAAAGAGTTAAGTTTTTATGATAATTGTAGCCACAAATCAAGCTTGCTCATTGTCATTGAAGTAAATTCAAAACGATTCACAAACTGTATTGCATTTACAAATTTTCCCAAGAATGCTTACGTTTTCGATGGTAGACAGCAAGTCATTTAATTATAAACATTAAACTAATAAACACTAAATTCAGGTCGGTTCGCTTTTCATTTTGGTCTCAACGGCAACCGAAGGATTGCTTGAATAAGTTAATGAATCACCTTCCTGCAATCCCGATCAATCGTGTCTAATCCGACAGAATTCTTTAGAACTGCAAACAATCATTTACTAAATAAAGCAAAGCAGGTATCGGGCTAAAATCTTACGTACTTCTTCACTCCAAATTTGCGATTATGATAAAGTCCGCGATAATTAAGTTGGCTACTTCATGCCGGATGCATGAAAA